GTTTATACGGGTGTATGCAACATACATGCGTGTGTCCGTGTGCTCCTCTGTTGTCATTAGCAGTGTACATGTCATCTATCGTCAGAGCAGGACATGCATAAACGTTTATTATAATTAACTAACTGCATGGAGCTGATCCCTTCTTGAGAAGCTACCAATTGTTCAGTTACTCAAGAATTTCCCAACATTTTATGGATCGTGAAGGTACATTACCGTGTTCACAAAAGTCCTTCACTGGTCCCTATCCTGAGCCAACGTGTATTATAGTAATATTAAATATCAGCATTCTGTTGCACTGGTTAATGATTTAATTTTCAAGGGCAGTCTTGAAGGTGTGACTTCTTGTTGTGCTCGTAGACAGTTGCTGTGCTACGTTGTTACGTTTTTATATAAATGTTACTTCTACGGCAGATTTAGTCCTTACAGAATCATCACCATGAAGCTTCTTTTAACCTATTGCTGCACGGTATTCCATTTTCCAGTTTATTGTTCTAAAACTTGGTTAAAAATAGTTCCAGTTATTGTTGAATTTCTTTAAAAATTATCCCTTCTACTGTACATATTTAGAACATTCCTTGGTTTCCTGGATTATATGCGGAATCTTGTTGTGGTGTAGAGCGTTCGTATTGTGTTGTGTTTTCAGTATTTTAAATCAGATCAATTGTGTACCACTTCGAACCCCCAACCGAATTTATACGCTTTTGTAACGGTCCTGAAGGCGAAGGACTTAAAATATCTGATCTGGATTTATACTCCGATTAGTGTTAAAAAAATTAAAACGACTTTCATCAGAAAATAGTTCTGTTACGGTAGGTCTCTCCAAAATCATTGCCTCCGTAAGACGTGACTTTCTCAGTTTGTGTTATTATTTGGAATTGTGCTAGACGTAAGATTTGTGTTTCATTGGTTCAATTGGAATTTGTTTCTGAACGAACATAGATGACCCAGAATTTAGAATCACTTAGTCTTATTTTAATCACTAGGTAAAAATGATAATCGTTTTATTGAAATCCGTTTATCGAAGTTTATTTAATTTGATAGGTGACGAAAGCGGCAGAACAGGGGAAATCCACGTCACTATCTACATAATTTGTAAAAAAAAAATCGATATCGTACGATTCGAGGCCGAAAAGAAATTCATTGTAAAATCATACACGAGAAGTTATTCCATGTCTGCCAGATGTTAATTCCCATCTAACACAGCAGAGTGTTTAATGAGGGAATCCACGGTTCCTCTGTACACAATGCAATGGAAATCTGATAGGAGATGCTACTGCTCTCTGTCCGGTGTACAAGGATCAATGATACTGCAGTTCAAACTCAGGTATTCGTACAGCCTATCATGTTTCCACATCACTTCCCCATAATGAACTGTCATTTTGTAGGGCAACACACAATGGTCATCTCAAATCGCAGATTGTAAAGCAAACTAAGAACTTGTTCTTCATATAATCTGGATTTATAACTGTTTTCTAACAAAGATAAAGACACAGCTGGCTTGCGAACTTTATAAAACTCTAACCATTGTCGTCAAGTTTTGGAACTTTCAATCCGTTTCGCCCCTCTACAGGACAGGTTAATCCTTCTAGCGTAACTTGAGCCTTAAATGGAATTTGTTCCTGCAGGTGTTCAGTAACTGTTGTGGAAATCGTTTCCTTTCTTTGAACATGAATCCATGAAAATGCACTTAATTATACTGGTTGGATTAAATACATTTAGTTCGTTTCTAATCAAGGTTTCTGCCCATGATTTGAGGTTATCACAGCGGTGGTTATGAGGAGTTCCATCCTCTGGGATTTGACGCCCACATTGCCAACTTCTTCACATTGAAGAAAGCAGTCTTCTGGGATTTGGCACCGTGTATATGTGGTGTTAACCGACGTTT